GGGGGGGGGGGGGGGGGGGGGGGGGGGGGGGGGGGGGGGGTGCGGGGGGGGGGGGGGGGGGGGGGGGGGGGAGGTCCTCAATCCAGTCTCTCCGAAAGCTGTCTCCTCAGGGCCTTCCTAGACCTCCTTCTGAGCTCTGTCATTTCCCATGCAAGGAGCATGTTCCAGCTTCAGGCTGGCTCGACTTCCTGCTTCTTCAATGACCCAGAGAAAGCATGTCTCCTCCTCAACAAGGGCCCTGAATATCGGTGTCATGGTGTCAAATATTGGTTCTCAGCCAGCTCGTATTTGAGGGCACACTTTCAAATGTCAACACTGTGGTTGGCTCACCTCACTTGAGGAAGCTTCTCTCACATCTAGCTCAGGGCCCTGCACTTGGTAATGTTTGAAAACATGAATATGAATAAACAGCACGTGGCCATCTCTGTGTAGAATGGAACATATTGTCACATCTGAGTGTAATACATCTTAATCCCGGATGCACAGCACAAGGCAGATTCAGCCCACTGTAACCACAGAGACTCTCTGTGTAACTGTTAGGGTCCTGGAGAAGTCCTGCAAAAGACCACCGTCCATGTACGCCATCAGCAAGAGTGTTGATTATCTCAAGAATAAAGGTACCAGCATACTTGGGACATACATCCAACACAAAGGCAAAGTGGTGGCCCTTAGAGAAGCTCACAGATTCCTTTTAAGCACAGCTAAGGGGAGTTTTAGGGACAATTAGTTCATCTCAGATATGATTGGCTTACATGAGTGGCAATCATATTAGTATGTTCTACTTGGCTAGTGCTAGCAGGGGCTGGTTAAAGTTACAGTTTTTCCATTTTTGGGAAGACCTGAACAAGTCCCAGGCTTTGTCCTTAATTGGTTATTACCTTGAGCTACTGGGGTGTGTGTGTTGGGGGGGGGGGTGCTGGCTCTGGCCTAGTATGAGCTATGTCCTTCGTCTCTGTTGTCATGGACGTTGAAGATTTTTCGTGGCTTTCTCAGAAACTGTCTGTCCAGTTTCAAGAGGGGGAACAGAGGCCTAGTTTTTAACTGAGTTATTAGAAGCTTGTCATATTTGTCAGGCCTTCTCAGTAACGATGTGACACGTTAATCTCTAACTGTGACACGCTAACCTCAGCCCTGCTGTTACATGTGTCAGAATCAGTATAGCAATGTAATATGCTGATCTCACTGTGACCTGGTCCCCTGTGTGATACTGAAGCTTGTCTCTGGCAACCTCTGTACTGATTTCAGTGTCACCAGGGACTCTAGATCAGTTCCTCTGAGACACTGAGGAGAGAGAACCCCCCATCCTCCAGCTCTGAGGGTCTGTTAGCCTTGGGCCTCTCACGGTTAGTCACAGGAGTGGTTTCCATATATCAGAATTGAGTGACATTTCAAATGGCTTCAGAAATTTGCTAGGGTGGGTGTTGGAAATGGCCCATGAGAGGGCACAGGAAATGCCAGGGAGCTGGGGAAATAGCTCACTTGGTCAAGAGCTGGCTGTTCGAGCCTGAACACCCGAGTTCATTCCCCAGAACCAGGATAAAAAGAAGCGAGGTTCAAGCTTAGAATCCCAGTGCTGGGGAGGCCGGGGCATAGATCTCTGGGGATTCATGAGTAGACAGTTGAAATAACCAGTGAGCCCCCAACAGGGGGCCTGTCTCACATTTAAAAAAAAAAGTGGATGACACCTGAGGAATGACCAAAGGTGATTTGCTGGCCTCAACAGGCAAGCCCACATGCACACATGCATACACACACACACACACACACACACACACACACACACACACACACACACACACACCTGGGGTCAGTGGACAGAATTCCTGTTTTATACAGTAACTATTTTTCTAGTCTTATCTTTATTTTATTTAAAATTATATGCTGAGGATTTCCCAACCTATCCAAAACTAATTGATAATGTTTTCATTCCCAGATATTTTCTACCCAGATCCTCTAGTATTTATTCTACAGCTGAGGTTATGGGTAGAAAGCATGCAGGTTTTCAGAAGCACTTTGAAGTGGAAGAGTGCCCATCCATTTCTGTGTCTTTCTGCTAATTCCCTCTGAGACTTGGTGGGTGCATTCCCGGACTGCTCTGGGCTCTGATCCTGGGTGGTTCTGACTTGCTCTTGTCACAGGGACCCAGCTCCCTGTTCCTGATGCCCAGGACCCTGAGGCCCCACTAATGCCTGCCCTTTGATGGGTCCAGCTTTTGAAGGCCTAGGAACTCTCTCTCTCTCTCTCTCTCTCTCTCTCTCTCTCTCTCTCTCTCTCTCTCTCTCTCTCTCTCCCTCCCTCCCTCCCTCCCTCCCCCCTCCTTCTATCTTCCTCCCTCCACCTTTCCCTCTCCTTATTGCCTCTCCCCACCCTCTTTCCCCACAAAGCTCTGCTCTTCACTTCTTCCATGACCTTCCCTGGCCCGCACACCCCTCCACACCTCCCACAGAGTGAGCTCACTGCCCCTCTCTTCTCTGTCTTCGCTGCCCTGCCATGCACACTGCACACCTGCTTCGCGCACTCCATCAGCACAAAGGGCCCCATGGCAGCCAGGGGTGCTTCTGGATTCTGGGGAAACAGTGATATGGGGACTTCTGGGGAGGGCAGGGAGGAAAGAGGGCCAGGTGATTGCTCAGTGTTCTATGTGTTCAACGATCGGACGTGAAGATGGGGCCGTGGGCTGCTGCAAACTGGGGACTCTGCCTGTTTCTACTTCGGGAAACTTGAGATCTTCAGAACCAGAACAGAGTCTGTAGGCATCCCTGCATCACTTATCAGCCGTGTGCCTTGGACAAGTTCCCAAAATCTTGGCTTGTTTTTTTGTTTTTGTTTTTTTCACCTGTATAACGAAACCAACAAGGCCCATTTCTTGGGGTGTTCATAGGGATTAAATGATTGGTACTGGAAATGTGCTCGGTGCTGTGCCTGGAACAGTGGGTGCTCAGAAATGATCCCCCACTCCTGTCACCTAGACTAATCCCATGGCCGCACAAAAGGAAGTGAAGTCACAAAGGGCTGACCTTCATGTTCAAAGCCATGGGGCCACTTAGAGGCAGGAGTGAGAGCAACTACCCAGGCCGTTCTTAGACCAACAATCAGATATGCTGCAGTTTCTGCTCTGGTGGGCAGACCTTGCTGCTCCTGAGTGGAATTCAGGCCCAGCATGCCTTTCCTTTCATCTCACAGCTTACCCTGCAGAGACACTACCATCCACACTTCCCAGGTAGGGAAACAGCCTCAGGGAAGTTCAGTCACTTAGTCATCCATCCTTCATGCAAGGAAGGCTGAGAGGCAGAGCCAGGACTCGAGCCCAGGGCAACCTGTCTTCAGGCCCATGCCCCTCTGGACATCTTTGTTGCTCCATTCTCTTGGGTCAGGTTCCCAGGAGGCGGAGTTTGGGAGGCCCGGTTCTGCAGAAAAAAAGCCTGACTATGCACTCAAGGCCCCTCCTGTCCGGACAATGTCAAGCCTGGGTGACCTGGCCCCAGGCTGCTACCCATAGCTGGGGGGTCTGAGCTGTCATCTGGCCTGCGGGGCTGTATTCCTTAGATGGCAGATTCCACTCAAGCCCTAGTTCCTGCTGTGCCTAGATTGCAGCCCTCATTCATCTGGAGAGAAGGCTCATCGCCCAGACAGCTTCCGGCCCCCAGTGGGGGATCAGAGCACAGAGTCCCTGCGGTGACACTCCAAGACTTCTGGGCCTTGTCCCTCTTGTCACCTGAGACTCCATCTTCACGACCCTCCACAGTGTCACCACTTCCGCTCGCCCGAAGCAGATGATTTTAATTGATTGATTGATTGATTGATCGATCTATCGATTGATATGGGGCATTTTCACCTGTCATTCGTTCTTGTTGATTTCTACCCCCTCTGAACAGCCCCCTTCACTTTCTTGTTACAGGAATTCTGTTGTCTCCTTTTCTCTCGCAGTCCCACTGAAAATCCCCTTCCCTCAGAGGACTCTAAGTCAGCCTGCCATAGACACCTGCTCACCCGTGTCCACCACTGCTCTGTTCACAGTAGCCAGGAAATGGAACACTTCCAACAGACGAGTGGATAAAGAAAATGGGGTGCAAACACACAACGGAATATTGTTCAGCCACAAAGAAAATTAAAATCATGGCATTTGTAGGAAAATGGATGGAACTTTAGGTATTTATGTCAAACAAAATGAGCCAGAGTCAGAAAACAAATACTACAGGTTTTCCTCCCATGGAGATTGTGTGTGTGTGTGTGTGTGTGTGTGTGTGTGTGTGGCCGGGGGTTGGGGAAGCAGGAATATTAGGAAGAAAACCACGAGATGGCGAAAGGAGGTGGCACTTTCAATAGGAATCTTCCCACCTCCAAGCCTTTGCTCCAGCCGACCCTCTCCCTGCTGAGCTCAATCATGAGTCTTGACAACACCCTGGGTTCAATTCCCCCCCCTCTCACTTTCTGCTGGGTGGCCTCTTCCGGGTTATTTCATCTCTCTGATCCTTGATGTTCTTTCTTTGTGAAACAGTGGGGAGGGGGAGGGGAAGTCACCTAACTAAACAGCAGACAGTGAGTGTCTTATCTAACCCATTCAACCTCTTAGATGCCTTGGGAATGGGGTGGGGGAGGTGACAGCGCTCATCTTCCTGTCACAGAGGACCTGAAGTCACAAGTGGAAGTCCAGACAGCTGCCAAGTGGTAGAGCCAGGATGTCAGCCCAAGCCTGCCTGGCTCCGGCACTTGCCTATGGTCATTAGATTTTAGGGTCATTGCCTTTACCCACCTTGGCGACAGACAGAAATGTCAGTGGGAGGAGACCAAGGACACGTCCACAGCTGCAGCTGCAGGGGCTGCGGAAGCTGGTCCTCCTGGATCACACCCGCTGTGTGAAACTAGCCTTCCACGGCCTTCCAGGGTCTTCCAAGGTCTTCCATGGCCTTCCGCCATCAGTTCCCAGGACCGTGGTCCCTTGTTACTGGGCTCAAAGTGAAATAACTGTGTTTCCCACCTCCTTTGCTCTCTCCGACCAGGGCCTGGTCATAGAGCGCCTAGGACGAAGACCTCTCCTCATTGGTGGCTTCGGGCTGATGGCCCTCTTCTTTGGGACCCTCACTGTGACGCTGACCCTGCAGGTGAGACATTGTGCGTGTCACTCTTGGAGGGAATTGATTAGCAGAGAGCTGGCTCTGGCTTCATCCCTTTGGAGTCTTGGGCTTGTGGGCTTAGCCTCTCAGCAGACCCCTCCTGTGAGGCGTATTTCCCATGGAGGTTCACTTCCAGAGCCCTGGGTGGCACTGGGGATGGATGGGTCCTGGAACTTGGAGACAAGACACCTGACTTCTGACCCTGCCACTGCCACAGATGAACTGTGTTGCAGTGAGCAGGAAGCCTCCCTTCCCTGAGCCTCAATTTACCTCTCTTTGGAGTGGGGGAATATGTTAGATACCCCTAAGGTGTCCCTCCTTGCAAGGGGAGCTGGGCACTGCCTGTCAGGTGACTTCTCAGTAACTACCCTGTCACCTGGATTCCGTGACCTGGAATCCTGGCTTTTCCACTTACCACTCTGCTGGCTCCTCTTGGGCCCGAGCTCTACACGGGAAAGTTGTAGAGCATCCCGTAGCCTGGGATGCTGTGAGGAGTAACTAACAGCATGTAGAGTGAGTGGTCCAGGAGTGCGCATGTGTGTTTATGTGGAAGAACAATTATATCCACTATCCTTACAAAATCCAGGGTTTCTTTTTAAAAACTTAACATTTTATTTTGCATATGGGTGTTTCCCCTGCATGTATGTCTGTGTACCACATGTGTGACTGGTGCCCACTGAGCCCAGAAGAGGGTGTTAGACCCCCTAGAAGTGGAGTTAAAGATGGTTGTGAGCCACCAGGTGGGTGCTGGGAACTGAACCTGGGTCCTCTGCAAGAGCAGCAAGTGCCCTTAACTGCTGAGCCATCTCTCCAGGCCCAGACTGCCTACTTTTATGGAGAGAAAGTCCAAATCATAAATAGAAGTGACCAACGTTTCACAGCTGGATGGTGGCAGAGGTGGGATTAGGTCCCAGGGTCTTTATTACAAGCCCCACATCTTTCCCTCCTGCTCCCTCTCCGGCTCGGAGCAACCTGGATTCATGAAGCACTTACTGGGCTGGTAAGTCTGGGTATTATTTTCAGGAATACATTTTAACATTGAAAGTTGGGCATCTTGGTCATCAGCTGGATATGCTAACGTTCCAAACAGTTCCAGAATGAGGCAAGAGTGGTGTGGTGATGTCAGAAGCCTGTCCTTCAGAGGTGGTGCTGAGCTGGCTCCTCCTTAGGGGACAGTGTGTTGCCTGAGCTGGCATTTTCCCATATCCAGACATAGAGTGGTCCTGAGCTGGGTGGCTTTGCACTGTCCCTCTGAGGTTCTGGGAGAGGGAGTGGAAACTGCTCTGGGGTCTATCTTTCTTCTGCCTCAAGCATCCCCCCAATCTAAGTCCCACACAACAGGGCCTTGGAGCTCCCTCAACATCTGCCTATAGATGAGTGGCAGACCCTCTGGACATTCCAGGAGTGAGTTAGCCCTCCACACTCATGGAACAGCAGGAGTGTAAACATGGTGCTTTACACAGTGAGAATGATAACTGAGAGAAATTTCAGTGTAACAATGCCTGAACATTGTCTCCGATGCTTTGCTTTAAACAAAGCATTCAATCGCTATTACATGTACACTTATTTACCGTTTCTGGCATACTGGAGCCTTTGGAATTCTGTAGGCATCATCTCATTTCCCACATCTGGGAAATCAGAGGACAGAATGACTCTGATGGTTGCAATTTGCAGCAATTGAGGCTCAGGGATATGTAATGGCCTGTCATACAGATGGAGTCAGGAAAATGCAGGTCCCTTGGACATCCTGCTGCTCCTTGCCTGTTCACATTGTCCTTTTTCTGCAGGACCAAGCCCCATGGGTCCCTTACCTAAGCATTGTGTGCATCTTGGCCATCATCGCCTCATTCTGCAGCGGCCCAGGTAGGACACCCTCTTGTGTTGTGCCTGGCCTGGGGGACTGGGGTGCGGCTCAGATATCTCCTTGACTGGTAGGGAACTTCAGGCCCAGGAAAAAGCAAAGCCTAATTGGGGGGGGGGGGGGGTGTGCTCCAGCTTTAGACCTTACTGAAGTGCAGTGGACTGCCTTCATGCTGCCCACAAAGGGCAGATACATGCTAACCGACATGCCTGCCGGTGGTAATGTCCAAGAGTCCAATAATGACAAACCTGGGATGCTGTGTGCCGGGCTTAGGACCGACTTGTGAGGAATCAAAGATAATCAAGGTACATCTGTGCCTCAGAGAAGGTACAGGTACTGAGGAAGTTCACTGATGATGGTGGCTAGGATGGATGAGTCACTGCTGATTAGCTGCACTCTAGGAACTTGAGAGTAAACTCCCTCGGGGTTCCTGGCAGCTCTAGGGAAGGCCATTGTCACTCAGTAGCAGGGGAACCCAGCCTCTATCCACCATCTTGCCCAGTGCCTGCTGACTATGGAGCCATCAACTGGGAAAGTTGGTTCTTCTTGTGCCTCAGTGTCCTTGTCTGTAAGATGGAGTGTTGTTGAAGGCCTTGCCATTTTCCTGGCCTTGTGGCTGTGACCAGCTAGAGCCTCCCTAAGACTGGTGCTGAGAGGTAGGTTTAGGGTGTCATCCAATGTGGTTGCACCTTCTCTTCCTGAGAGGGTGTTCATAGCCTTGCTTTGCTTTTTCTCTATGTTAATGAAGACTAAATTGTGGGGCTGGTGCTCAGTCAGTCATATATTGTCTGGTATGCAAGATGATCCCGGAATCTCATTAATCAGTCCAGGTGACACCTGCCTATTAGATTTCGAGCAAAACAAATGGAATTAGACTTCTGTCTCATCTAGTGTCACTTACTTTCAGACACCATGTTGGTTCCTATTTGTGATGGTTGCATGGAAAGCATTTGTCCCCATCCCGAGTACCAGTGAACTGTGATGAGGTGGCCGAGGGGGACTTGAAAAGATCGTGGAAATGCCACTCACACCAGCACATGCACATATACCCTCACCATGAAGGCAGGGTTTCAGAATGGTTCGAGGACAAAGGAGACGTTGTGCGGACTAGACTCATGTCCCCTTGACATACACTAGAGTCATTCTGGAAGAGGGAATCTCAGTTGAGAAACTGCCCCCCACCACATTGACCTGTGGATAAGCCTGTGCTGATGTATTTTCTTGATTGATAATTGATGTGGGAGGGCCCATCCCACTGTGGGTGGCACCTCCCCTGGGCCGCTGGTCCTGGGTGCTATAAGAAAGCAGACTAAGCAAGCCATAAGGAGCAAGCCAGGAAGCAGCACTCCTCCATGGCCCCTGAATGAGTCCCTGCCTCCAGGTTCCTGCCCTGCCTTCTCTCGGTGATGGAGTGTGACCTTAGATCTGTAAGCTGAAGATTTGTAAGCGGAAACAAACACTGCCCTCCCCAAGTTGCTTTTGATCATGGTGTTTTATCACAGTAATAGAAACCCTAACTAAGACAGGTGCCTGCCTGGCAGGGCAGCAGAGTGTCAGGAGGAGAAACACCCATGCATGCTGCCGCCACCTAGAGACCTGAGGTGTGGACAGCAGCATCTGTAGCGTGCTGACTGTGTGCTAGGCCCTGTTTCTAAGTGTTTCGACCCCCCAAAAATACCATGGGAATGTAATTAGTACATCAAGACAGATGCCCAGCTTTCCCCAGCCATCTGAGGGTGCACCTTGGTCCACTGTTGTCCTGTCACTTACACAGAAAGGGTCTCTGCAAACACCATGACCAACAGAGTGTCAATTCACATGAGGCAGGGAGGAGGTCCCATTTGACAGGACTCAGTAGCCAGTGTGTGTTCAAACTTCAAGAGTCTGACACCGGCTCATTTATTTCAGGCATATTTAAGCACAGCACAATTTGGAAAAAAAGCTTCTTGGTGATAATTAACACATTCCTATGTGTACAGCAAAGCTTAAGACATACTTACATTGAAACTCTTGTAAAGTACAAGTGACATCTTCCATAAAGACAGGTTCTATAGATTATAGAGATTAACTGAGAAAGAGGCTTATGGTAAACAAAGTTCATGATAAGGATCTGCAGACAGAGAGAAGATAGCTGTAGATTGACTAGGGTAAACATAAGAATCTGTGGGAGCCCATGAGGTCTGACCATACAGATGGTGCAGAGGTCACCAGGCTATTAATACCCCTCTTCCCAGCCTTCTGGGCAGCAAACCAGTTATACATCTCTCCCTTTGAAGAGACAACCCTTCATGTTTAGCATTCCTGGTTTCCCTAGCGCTCATCTGTGAGCAGAAGGACCTCCATGCCTCCTACCACTGAGGACCAGGAGCCGCCCTGACCTCTCCTATGGGCCATCCCTGAGCTACCTGCTAATCTTAGACCAGGTGCCTCCTGCAAACAGTGCTGAGCATGTAGGACGCTCTCTTGCCTTCCTGCTCGTCAGTACCATCCTGAGGTAGGATTGGCATGTTGAGTAGAGAAATGACCAGGTCATTTTCTTTCCTTTTGGTTTCACTCATCCTATCCCAGGAATAGAAAATGGGTTAAAGGTGAGCCGCCAAATTCTTTCTTTCCAAACTAGCCTTATTCTCAATCTATAGACGGAAAGAAAGCAGTTCAGATTGATTTTCTGCATCATAGAGCTGAGAAATGATGGGTGTGGACCTTCTCTGTCTTGTCCTAAGAACCATGATCTTAACACTTGCATCCATACCTGGCTGGTGAGCATTAACTGTTTGCTAAAACTTGAGTAGAATTATATTCATTCTGAGATTGACCTACAAGGTTAAAAACTACTTGGATGGCTCAGTGTCTAAAAGCGTTTACCACCAAGTCTGAGGATCTGGGTTAGATCCCTGGGACCCACATGGTAGAAGGAGAGAACCAACCCCCACCAGTTGTCCTCTGACCTCCACATACGTGCCCACACATACATACATACATGTCATTTTTTTTAATTACTCAGAGGAAAAGAAGCCTACACCAAGAATTCTGGATATGAGGAGGGGGACTTCCACTTTCTTCTTCCCAGGATGAGGTTAACCTCCATCTCCACAAATCTACCCTGCATGTGTCTACACAAGACAGGGTTTTGTCACCCATGTCCCTCTGACAGACCTTCTCAGCTGAAGGTGACGCTGAAGAATGCTGATTTTCATAGTTTCCATCAGTCCCTGCTTCAGGCATCGTCCCTACTCGGAAGTCAGGGACTGGCCTTCGGCTTTGGCTCTTAAGTTCAGATCCCCCAAGCCATAACACTTGGTATTGATGGGAGAGCTTTCATGTCTCAGAGTGTGAAAGGCTCAGCTCCACAAGGGTATCCACGGGCCCTCCAGGGAAATCATCTGCACCCTACAAGCACAGATAAGCTCTCAGTCCTGACCCTTCACCCCCAAACTCTGTGTTCACTCAGCAGCCATGCCTCTCTAGCAAGCAATGATCTCAGCCACTAGATGGACTGGTTGTAGGACCACAGTCAACTCACATTGACCGTGCCCAGCCCACAGCCTCGGGGAGATTACCTATCTAAGGGAAATCTGGATTGAGAGAGCGTCACCATCTACCTAAGCCTTGAGGGCAGAGCCCATCCCAGGAGGAGCTCTCTGGGAAAGTGAGGAATGAGGACAGTGAGAGATAAATGGCTCAGATCCCCCCAGTATGCCCTCCCCATAAGGAAATGGCAGTAACCCAGGGACCTGCTGGAATTACCCTCCCAGGAGGGAACACAATAGTTTCCCCCAGACAGCTTCTCTCCTGAGCAATCAATTTAAGGAAACCTGACAGGGAGTTGAAGTCAGGCAGAGGGAAAGAGAAAACATAAAGACAGCAGTTTCCTTCTACATATTTTATGTGTGTGTGTGCAGCCCCAAGGCAGCTCAGAGAATCTCATCAACAAAGCACTTGAAAGCCTTACTTTGAAGGACGGATGATCTCTATACCTCATTTCCAGTCTGAAGGCTGTCATGAGGGCCTGACACCTGGAAGGGAGATGTGGGCTTAGTGGAGAGGACAGAGGTACCCAGAGGGAGGATGGTCTTTGACGATAGGAATTAGGATGGCAATGAGCACCCCAGATGATGGGGCTGGCCCCATAGGATGTACCAGGTGCCCACTTAGCTCCTGTCCGGTATGAAAAAAGGTTTCGTCTACTTGTCATAATGCCTTGGCCCTGTGGAGCCTTTCCTGCAGGTAGAAATTACCTGAGTACTAGGTGAAGGACAGATACAGGAGCCCTCCAACTACACAATTCAGAGTTCTACAGAGGGACTAATGTAGCTAGTAGCTAGAGTTTTCCTGCCTGGCCCACAGTCAGGACAAATCTCTGACACCCGCCAGTCCCACAGCCACTCAGACCCAACCAAATAAACACAGAGACTTATATTGGTTACAAACTGTATGGCCGTGGCAGGCTTCTTGCTAACTGTTCTTACAGCTTAAATGAATCCATTTCTATAAATCTATACCTTGCCACGTGGCTTGTGGCTTACCAGTACTTTACATCTTCCTTGTCCTGATGGTGGCTGGCAGTCTCTCTCCTGCCTTCCTGTTCTCTCAATTCTCCTGTCTGTTAGTCCCGCCTATACTTCCTGCCTGGCCACTGGCCAATCAGTGATTTATTTATTGACCAATCAGCAACACATTTGACATACAGACCATCCCACAGCACTTCCCCTTTTCTTTTCTTAAAAAGGAAGGTTTTAACCTTTACACATCTCCAAAGTCAGCTTGATATATTTGGGAATTTGGGCGTAGCTTCTCTTACTACTTCCTGCTGGAGGGGGGCACTATATCTTATGGGGACACAAAGAATACTTTAGGATTATGGAGTAGTCCATGAGGGTGTATCGTCTGAGCCAGTTGCCTTGAAACAGTTCTGGATGTTGGATCATCTGGGCCATGGTGTCATCGGAGACCTTTCAGGTGGTTTTGGCTGGTCAAACCTGATGTATCTTAATCTGGTACA